TTATGGCAAACTGCACAAATGCATCTTTCATAAGTTTACGACCTGAAAGTGCTAAAAGAATTCTTTTTCGTAATTATTTTAATTAGTTTTCTCTTTGTCTTTATGCGTTTTTAATCCATCTGGGGTAATTTCCACTAAATTTGAAATGGTTTTTTCTCTTAAGTGTGTTTAAGTAAAAGTTGATTATACGTTTACCCTTTAAAACTGACTCATTGATTACAATTACAAATGACCGTCAAACAAGGCTTGAGCTTTTACAATTTATAGTTTAGGATTAATCTAATTATTATTAAGAGTAATAAGGAGCTTTTAAATGCATTTAGCGCAGCTAGCTTTAACAAAAAATCTGCATGTGGCTCAAATATATTTAAATTAGTTATTATAATAACAAACTATCATTACTCTAAATACAAATTTGAATAAAACATAAACATTATTTTGAGGTTTTTAAGAAGCAAAAATCTTTCTTCAAGGACATGTTACATATATTTTGCCACGACGGACACATTTTCACAATTGTTCCTTATCCAAATAAAAGTCATGTAATGCCAATTGTTCATTTTAATTTAAAGAATGCATTCAAATATTATTGCATCATTTAAATAGACCAAAAATTGATAAAAATCATTTGGAATTCTCATAAGAAAATTGGACAGTTCCGTGAATGTTGCTGTGGGATTCTTTTTTAATGTGGTCGCAATTTTATGTAACACAGATATGTAATTTAAAAAAATCAAATTATACAAATTAGAAGAAAGTAAAAATGATCATATTTTATTAGTGGTTTGAATGTAGTCAAACAAATCATAATTTCCACATCACTAAACTCACAGAGTTTGACAAGAAAACATTTTAAAAATATTTACATTTCTTTTACAAAAAAAAAATAGGAGTTCAATAAAGTCGAAATTACTTGTTTGTGTGATTGTGCAATTGCTTTAAACCCGTATTTTTACGTATATCTATTAATTTATTAAGCAACGTTTAAAAATCACAGTTAGAAAATAATAAATTGGTTAACGCTTATTAGCAAAATTAAGGCTGCATTTACGCCATTGAGCCTTGCGTAAAATTCAGAGATTGGTTCATAATTTAGTACTTTATATGCATTTGCATGCACTTTCAGGTTCGATTGTTTTAAAAAAAGTTGTGGTTTGTTGTTATGCTCAATAAAAAAATTTAATAGCGATAAAACCAGAATAGACACACACGAAGATATATCAAAATGTCACAATAACGAGAAACTCCAAAGTCATTTGTCACGTAGCTAGAAATTAAGTTGTTATTATCTACGCCAACAATTAAGAGAAAAAGTATGTGTAACATGCTTCGAGTTAATCTGCATGTGTCAGTTGTGGAAGAAAGTTGCTGTCAAAATTTTGTGGAGAAATTTTCGGTGCATTTTTTTGTTGGGTTTTAGGTCAGGTTGTAATTTTTTCGATAACAAGTATTGTAATGAAATTTTCTCTATTGTCGCAAAGTGCAAAAATAATCAAAATTGGGTAATTCAGGTGCTTTGCGACAGCGCAATTAATTACTTCGTATGGGATCAAGGATGTAGTTTTCCGAAGTCATTGCGTAATCAAATGAATGATAAACCGAAGAAGTTGACAACGTGAAAGCTCGAGTGTTTGGCAGGCTGCCTATACTACACTACAAGAATATAAAAGCTGGTAATTCACGGTTATCGCCCATCAGCTTCAACACCGTTTGAAAATTTAATTACATTTGCTTTCTAAATTACCATAAAGAAAAATAATCAAACTTACGAAATATGCTTATTCTTATTATGTACGCAGATCTGGGACATTTACGCAGAAAAATCCACCTTACCGGCTTACCTTGGTCGCGCTGAAAGTACTAAATTATGATTTAATAATAAAATATGAATAATTGTTAAACAAATAAGTTGCACGATCAATTGTTGTAACTGTATCATGTAAAGGTTAACGTTGTGGGAGTTGCACGATGCAAAAAACTGCTTGTGCTTATTGATCTGAAACTGCAAGGAAAAAACACAAACCGCAAAACAATTCCTATCGATGCATTTTCATGCTGGCCTTGCAAATTTTGTCACGCAGGCTGAATTGTAGTAAAAAATTGTGTTGGAAGTGATTTAAACGAGATCACGGAGCGGAGGTCGTGTCAATTGGAAGAAATCGTGAACTTGTGATGGACGAAACTGATATATTAGCCAGAGAAAATGATTTATGAGTCAATATTTAAAGATTTCTTGACTCAGACAGACCGAAAACCCACACACTTCCTGATGCAAAATTGGTAGTGATTGCAACTATTGTCGATCTTATCTAATTTTGAATGATTTGAGTTTTTACTGACTTTCTAATCGCTTAAAAATTGTTAGAAGAGATGATTAAATTCGATATAAAATAAGAAATTACAAAATAGAACTTTTTGAAAAGTTACAGTTTAATTTAACAAAGACCTTGTTAGTTACAAAACTGGCACCTACTAGGTATAATTAACCTTTATTAAAATAAAGATAACGTGTAAGTGGCGGTAAAGTTAATGACGAAAATTTAATGTTTAACTAAAACTACATTTTTTGCAAAACGCAGTATATAATAGATGTTGAATTAACAAAAAATTTATTTCATTACTTGAGTATTGTCGGAATAACAATGCGCATTCACCATAATTGCTAAATTTATGGCTTGTTATAAACAGTGAACTATAAACAAATTAATTTTAATATTTTTGGGTTTCTGGCGTAGAATTTGCATTTTTATGATTTGGGCATGAATTTAAGTGTTTTTAATTTTTTGCGTCGCATAAGCTAAAGAAGAAGCTTTTTGTGATATTTACGAATGTGTATAAAATATAAAGTGACAAATATTTTTATCAAATCTTTTCGTCATTAGTAATCTCACTCTCTTAAATATTACATAACGCAGTTACACAAATGGTTGGTCACTTTTATTAATTTGTATCACTTTTTCTAAAAAAAAATGTGTTGTAGGTAGTTTTAAAACTTTTTTATAAATATTTTGTTTATTTTGTAAGTTTTTGAAAGCTCATTAACGACTTTCCTGAAGAATTCTATAACATGATTCTATGAATGCACAAAATGGTTTTCTAGAATATGAAATTTATGGCAACAATGGCTATCATAATATTTTACTTTTCATTTTTAGGTAAAATACACGTTTTATTTGTCATTACGTTTTAATAAATGTACCTAATAGCTCGATAATTTGTTATTTCCTTTTATTTACTTGGAAAGAATATTGAAATAAATTGATCTTTGTCTAGTTCTTGTTATTCTAAATTACTAAGCGACATTATTTTTCTATTAATAATTTTTGGTACCAGTCTTAAACACACAATTTGACGTGCAATGGTAAAAATAAAAAACCTCCATCATGTCACAGTTTTAATTAAAATATATTTTTTGGATAAATGTTAACCTAGAGCATTATTATGGGAAATAAATTTAAATTTAATCTTTTATAATCTTTTATAATCAATTTATTTTCCGTTTAATGAGGTTTTTGTGCAAAAACTAAATACCTAAGAATTATGTAACTGCTTGAAATTTTTTCATCAAGATATCAGTACCATGGGAAAAAGGTATCAAGGTATACCTATGTGGGATTCGACAATGATGGGGGACTTCTACAGGTTTCTGCAAAAAGAAGACTTTACTCGTCATAAAAGACAAAAACAAAATTCTTGAAAATATTTTTTCGTTAAATTTGTGTTTAATTTCTTATTTAGTGTTTTATTTTGTGTAGTTTAAAATTAAAAATACATTTTAAAATTTAATACATTTTTTTAGTTCAGTCTATATCGTGAATATGATTGATTACTTCGACCAGCCTTTAAATATGAAAACAAAAAAACCTTAGATGATGGAGAATTTTAGTGATCATTTTTAGATTTATTGAACAAAATTACATAGGATGCAGATACATATTTTAATTAGTGTTATAAGAAAAAATTGAAAAAAATATCGCCTATGATGTAATAGTTTGTGTGCGCCATTTGTTACTGCTTCAAATTTTATCCTCAGAGTTATAAATACTTAATATATCTAATTATTTTTTTTAATAAAGAGAGAATTAAGATAAAATTCTAATTTCTTTTTTGTAGAAAGTATTAATTCTTGAAATGAAGGGATAATATCACAACATCTTCGGGCATTTTTGTGGTCAGTAATTTTATTTCTTTTTACATTGTATTTATTAGAGTCGTGAAAAACCGCCAATCTCTTCAGATTTATTACGTCAAATTCCACTCTCTTCCTCCTGGTCTAAATTAACAAAATGTAAGCTAGCAATTAAGTTATCTTTTCAATACTAACCTTATCCTTTCAATTCACATAAAATTTAATATAGCGGCAAATAATTTTATGTTTGTTGTGTTGTTTTTTGCCATGTTTGATTGCCAAATTGCAAAAGTTGGTATTTACTAAAAATGTAAATAAATGAGAGTTTGAGAAATACTTAATATTGATGAACCAGATCTTCGCTCTTCAACAGGATATTCTAAATTAGATTTCTTCACCACTTGATGATAAATTGCGACGCATTCAATGAAGCAGCTCTTTGAAACTAAATTTGTTTTACAACGTTATGTATGTTTATAGTTTTATATGCGTATAGTTCATTACTTTAAAAAATTACAAGTTACAATTACAATTACGGTTTATAGACGAATTACATCACTTTCATATTCTATAAAATAATTAAACCCAAAAATTACATATTATTGTCGTACACGCATCCATCAATCCAGTACAATAAGTCACTGCTATTGTATGGAAAGACATTTGCAAATAATGATTGTTTGCATGGAATCCACATGTTTCAATAAGTATTTGTTGCTAAAGACTGGAAACGGGTAATAATAAAGACGTTCATATCATTTAACATTATTGCAAAAAAACTCTCTTTTTGATTTACCGATATGACAGTTTTCAAGTACTCTTCACCAAACACACAGCACCAAAAGAACAGTTTTGTTTTAAACAAGTTTTGTGCACAGTTATTTTAACATTACATTTATGGTTCATTAGTAGTTCGGGTTTAGTGGCTGTGATGTCTTTAATTTTAATTATTTTTTTAATCATTGCTGCAAGTGGTGTTCCTATAAATGTGGTGCAAAAAGCTGCAGAAAATGAATTTGAGGTAACCAAAACTCTTATGTTACTCACGTTCAAGTAATTATTTTAGAAACTTGATAATTATTTACCGAAAGTTGGAGATTTTCCCAAATTTCATTATTCTACGTTTGGGGGTAACACCGGCAGTGATGAATTAACGAATGTAATCGAATTCAAAACCAAAGTAAAGGAAGATGCTAAAAGTTTGGGCAGTGTAATGGACTTTGTCAAAGACGTAAGTTGGGGTTTTTCTAGCTTTTATATCAACAAAACTTTTATCTATTATTTTACTACAACAATAATTTTATTACTGCATTCCTTTAAATAAATCAAAGATTACGTTAATAACTTAATAAGTTTCTTATGTTCAAGAATTTACAGTAACAAGGAATGTTGGCCTGGATGAATTAATTGTAAATTTCCTCATTCATTAGTTAACCAATTGTTGTAAGTTTTTTGCAGGACTTTGATTAAAATTATGTTTCAAGCATGATTTGTTATTTTTCTTTTATTGGAAAGGAAATGTGCAACATTCAATTAAACATAATTTAATTAATTTTTTATAAACCAACATCTAGTAAACATTAGATTGCCAGGAACAAGTCTTCAAAGTTAAAATTTAAAATTGAATAGTAATATATTGTTACCGCAATACATGATAATTTGAAGAAAATTTGATGATAATACTAGTAATACTGGTTAACAATTCTTTAGGGTGCAACTGCTGGAATGGACTTGATAAAAGATGTTGGGAATATGATAATATCAACTTTACACCCTGTAAGTAGTGGTACTGGTCAAAAGTAATTTCGTAAGATTTTTTTAAGCGTTTCAATTAATTTTTCTAACTGTATATCCTGTTTCACAAGCAGTTATTATCGACAAAAAATTTTTACATAAATCAATCAATTGCAAATTGGAAAAGTACTTTTTATTTGTTCCATTCACAACAATCACAATTTTTATTTTGTCATAGTACTAAGTAAACGTACTTTGTGAAGGACTTATTATTCACACGGCACTGCAATACTTAAGCTTATTACTGTAATAAGAGATTTGAAATAAAAAATTGAAAGAGCGAGTTCTGCTTGAAATAATATTCTAATTTATGAATCATTTAAATGTCATAGAAACTCCAAAAACGAGGTCAAAGGTCTTAAAAGAATCTTACGATTATTTGTACAGATGGTGGTTTTTTGATAAAATGTAAATTTCTTCTATTGTAATAAATAAAAAGGGAGGTGTCTTTGACACACTTTAACTTACGTAATTTTATAATGTTTATCATTTCTTTCTTGTGTCAATAAAACCAATATCTATTAGAAAGTTAACTCTTCTATCATGTAAATATTTCCGATTTTTATCATCTATAACAGGAAACTACGACGGAACAAGAGACTACAACAGTACCATATGATGCTACAACAGAAATAGAAATTACAACAAAAGTTTTTGATCAGTTAGATCCAGTTTTTCTGGAAAATATTGACGACAACACGAATAGAACAATAAGGCAAGACGACGAGGATGACGTTGAAGTCGATAAAGACAAAAATAACGATAAAGAGAAAGAAAGTCAAGAGAGCGATGAAGAAGAAGAAGATGAGAATATGATCACTGGCTTACTTTCAGCATTTTTGAGTGGATTGAGTAGAGTAAGAATAAAATAAATGATTTACTTATAATTATGGTGACCTTCTTAGCCCGACGGTAGTGTCGACGTTGAGGCAATAACCGGCTTGTTGGGAAGTCTCAGTACTGTAAGTACCACATTTTTAATTTCAAATTAATTAGAAGAAAAATTACAGCAAAACCCCGATGGTACTTATGATTTCAACGGCTTGACAGAGCTTTTGATGAGCTTTTTTGGGGTAAGAATCGTCGGTTTGGAATGAGTGGGTGATATATTTTTTTAGGGAGGAGGTGAGGAAGGAGGCGGTTCCGATTTTGGTGCTTTTTTAGGAGGTTTACTCGGAGCTTTTATTAAAGGAGTCGCCCAACCTCCAGGAGCGGTATTTTAACCTCAATTATGTTATTGAATTACAAATTTGTGTAACAATTGTTCCACTTACTTACTAATTAGTGTTCTTTTAGAAAGGATCTGGGATTTTCGTTGGAAACCTTCTAACAGGAATTTTACCAGCCTTGAGTGGACCGGTAATGCCTTTTTTAACCACAAGTGTGGAAAGTTGCCCAATTAAAATGATGCACAAGAAGTGATTGAGCAATTGCAATTAAATTAGTGTAAAAATCTTGCTGTAAATAGCTTCTCTCTGTCTTTTCTGTTATTTTAAAGTGAAACAGGAAGAGGAAAAAATTTGATTTCAGGCACCCACTGAGGAGGGCCAGACCGAGAAACCTCAACCTTCTTTGGACTCAGGGGGCTTTCTGGGGGGCCTTCTTTCTTCAATTGCCGGAAGTAGTGGTAGTTTCAGTGCTGGAAGTAGCGGAGGCAATAACGCCAACGGCGGGGTAATTTTTTAACTAAATTTAGTAACAATTTAGTGAAAGCTTAATGACTCTATTTTAATTGGCACAGTTTTGTTAATTGAACGTTCGTTTAACCTGATATTAAAAAAATTATTCATCATCATACAATGATCGATTATTACACAAGCACTTTTTACAGGGTGGCGGCTCCAAGTTTTCACTTTTCAAGGCGATTTTTTCGATGATTACGTCAGTCTTTTCGTCGTCGTCGGCGGCGCATTAGACATAGGTATAGGACTGTATTTTTTAATAAATTATCTCTATGTGCAATAAATCATTTTTTTATTTTATTGATTGATGTTGAGGTATTTTCATTTAATCAAGAATATGGATTATAAAACTATATTTTACATCTAAAACTCAGTACATGTGAGACATATATTTTAAATAAGTCAATTATAAACCCCGTGTTGAATGAAATATTGTTAGGCGTAATTTAAGTTTAATTTAAACCATTTATTATAAACATACCAACGTTTCCAACTGGCATGCATTAATTCATAATAAATAATTAAAGCGTAATTGTAGCATTTTAGGACTTATTATAAATATTACAACGGTTTCTAGATAATGAAATTAAAAACAAATATGTTTTGATTATATCCTTCTTTATTGATTTAAAATTGTGCAATAACTAAATTTGCATGGCGACTACTAAATTAAAATGTTATGGTATGGTACAAAAGCGTCAAATGTCATAACTTTTACAATAATAGATAGTTATTTAAAACAATGTTAATAATTATAGTTACAATATATACGACCATCAAGCGTAGGTAGTTATTTATTTTTTAAAGAATAATTTCAAGTTTGATTAATGTATTGCTTCTTATAGTAGTAGTAGTAGCAGCAGCTATTGTTGTCTCTTGAAAATTATTAATGAATTGAGGTTTGTTTTATAAATAAAAAAATTTTTTTAGTAAAAAGTAAATTATTCTCATTCAATCGTCCGTAAATGAACATTGTTTTTATCTTTATTTCTCTTGTATCAATGTAACACTTTCTTTGTATAAATCGGAAAATAACACTTGCTAAAGAAATAAATACATTTAACAAAAAGCAAAAAAGTTGAAAGATTTCAAGGGAAAAAATTTTCTATGGGCCCCAGAAATGGGGAGTTACAGCAATAATTCGACCTTATATGAAGAGTCTTACTTCTGGTGCGACGTGCAAAAATTATACAAGACATTTTTTGAAAAAAATTTAATAAAAAATTAATATATTGACTCCAGTTCCTTCGCCCTCCTAATTAGTGTATACAATTTTTGATATCACCAACATCAGATTCAACGCCAAAAAATTATTCCAGATGCAAACTTTTGTCACCGATTACTTAGATAATTGAGAAAAAGGCCATCTATCCGTCATTTTTGGGGGGCTCTAGATCCCTCAGAAAATATTTGGACACAGGTTTATAGCAATTAAAGTGAACTTTTATTACATCGCCTCAAAAATTTTCGTCCATCTATCGCATGTCGCATTACAGCCGGCCGCGGAGTAGGAGCAAACTGAAAGGCGTCAAGGCCATATGGCAAAATAAAATAAAATAAAATAAAAAAATTAAATAAGTTTCACTTGCCACACTATTTTTTTTTATTTTGATGTAGGGTACTATTCTATGAAATCTTTCGAGGTTTTTTTCAGGATATCCTGTATATTTATTAAATATGAAAAAATATTCTGGAATTTTAGTAATTATTTTAGGTATTAAATTAAAGAGAATATTTGTTATAAAACAATCTACATTACGCAATTCAAGGAGACATTTGACTAAAATTTCCTTTAAGATTTTAATCAGTTGTAATAAATTTTGCAAAGTATCAATTTAACAATAAATTGTGATATGCAACAAAAAATTTTCTTTCTGTTATCAATTTTTGATACATATTTTATGTCAAAAAAAATAAATGTAATTTATAGCTTTTTATGTGCTTTACATCTTGAATAAGAAGATGCTGTAAAATTTTACATTATACTAAGCTGAAAGTAAAAACGTACAATTGACTTTTTATATTCAGTTACACAGTGCCTAATAACAAGTGAAGTAATTGATGTGCGGAACGGATAATTAGGAAAAATACTATGTACGCGGTGTAAATGCTTTTTTAATAGCCGGTTGAAGGCATTATGTAGTGTTTTTTGAAATAAAAGTAGCAGAAAAATGACTTCCTTGTTCCCTCTGCTTTGTTCAGTCTTATAGTTAAAAGAAAAAAAAAATTATAAAAACAAAGGAAATGCGTAGTTTTCTCGTTGGAAGATATTTTTCGAATATTTGTACGAAAAAATAGTCTTTTAGCTTCAGTAGCAATCAGTAGAGGCAATAAGGATGCAGGTGCTGCAGAGTAAAATTTATTTAGTGAAAACGCTATTTACTTGTTTCACACTCTATGAAATGAGTAATTAAGAAAAATAACTTAATTTATTTACCAGTTTAAGTAACTCTACGCGTGCTTCGATTTCCTTCCGACTCGACCGGAATGTTATTCCTCTGTTACATAATTGTTTATCTCAGTTGTTTAAATCCGACAAAAACTTAGTCTAAATTACTTCCGCCTTAAAATTTCGCCTTGCTAAAATAAGTAACCGCTCAATTATTGTAATTGTGTCAAAATTGCATATATTAAATAAAAATAACAGCTTTAATCTGATTGTATTAAGATTTATGGGACGCCAAAAATAATTACAAGCACATTCTATACAAAACACTCAACTTTCACACCCATAAAATTTAACGTTATGTGGCTATCACACATTAATTGTAGTAATTAATTTAGAAGATTACAAAAAATTACAAGTTTTGGAAATTCTGGTAATTTGAGTAGAGATTTTAGTAACTTGATGCTTGAAATTATTTTGCGTGCAATGACCGAAACAAAATTGCACGAACAATCAAAGAAAGTTCCAACAATTCCAACGATGTACGAACGACATTGAGTGTACAAGAGAGAGTAGTTAACCATAACAGTGGGGAATCAACTTGTAGCAACAATTCTAACGCGTGTGTGATGCTTATTTCTTTTAAGAGCCATAAATTTGTTAATAAAATAAGAAAATTGGCCGTTAAGTGGTGGTGAAATAGTGAATTGGAGGTGCTATGATTCAGGAAACTGGAATCATGTAAGTAGTGGTCTGGTTCTCTCTGACATTCACTTATGCAACTGGACGAATTATTTATTATTCACGTTTTTTTCTCCTGGTGTGGAGAATGTTAGCAATTATTATTGTTCTGGTCTGGATTAACGTTCACCAAAAATTATTAGGTCCCGGTTTCTGCTCGCGTTTCAAAAAAATTGGGAAACTTTTACAACGCGGATTTTCAAGTGACTAATAGTAACACAAAACTTTTGCAATAGTAATTCATTAGCGATTTCCAAACCAAATGATGCCTACGTTGTTCTAATATGGCATTTAAAATAGGTAATAAAGTAAACCTACATTGTGTTAACACTAAATTGAAGTTTGAAGCATTGTCAAAAGTAGATATTTAGACCAAGGCAATTATTTTGCAACTTCCATATAATAACAGATGAACAGATAAATTAATTAGATTTTTATCAAGATAGGTATTTTTGTAATAAAGTATTTTTTATTAATTCAAAATAAGTTGTAAAAAAATAAATAATTTTGTAACATTTAGGGTAGATTTGTGGCTAAAATTCTAGGTCAAGATTTTTCTGATTAACACAATAATCGATAAAAAATACTAAAACAAGGTTAGCTTATTATGTAATAGGTATCGCCACAAAAAATAATTTTGAATGTGTAATTTAATTAAAATTAAATAAAGTTTTAAGAATGCAAATAAGATGCGCCTTAGTTTAGTAACTTTCTACATAACGAATGTGGAATAAAAATGTTTAATGATTTAATAACATTTTTTGTCTGTGAAACACAAAATTAACAGTTACTCAAAAAATTAATTAATCATTTGGATAGCTCTAAATATGCACTTTCAAAGAGTGAAAGTGTTTATTCATAAAAACCAAAGTTAAATTTTGTGTCGTTTTGAATTTCATTCACCTGCTTATGTTACGTCTTAAATTACAAGTATTTTTACATATTTTTGTAACACAATTAACACCAATAAAATTTCTCTTGTCAAAAAGCTTCCTGGTCAAGTAAGTTTAAGTAGATGCATTCATTTAGTTTGAGGAAGCTTTTATAGCTTCCTCAGATTAAAATTACTTAAAAAATAACTTTGAGGGTCGATTTGCAAAACCTCTAATTGCAATCAAATTTCAGTTCCCGATTAGATTAATACGACGTTTGTCAATGCAAAGTAAAAGACAAGTTAATTCATCTTTAATTTGCAGTTTTTTTTAAATGTATTTTATAAAGCTATTTTTAACTTTTTAAAGTAAAATTATTGACTAATACAATGCGTTGTTGTTTACTAAGAAACAAGCTTTTTATGAATAGTTAGTACAAAGAGTACACAAATTTAGAATAAATTTATTAATTAAAAAGACTTTTATTTAATTAGAAGTTATTTCTAGATCATAGTTTTTAATTAAAAAAATGTAGTAGGTTGCCATTAAAAAAATTAAAAAAAAACTTAAAAGAATTTTGAAAAATGTTATTCTTAATAAACGATCACATTTTAATTGTACTTTACGCTACACTAATTTTTTTTGTAAAATGGTTAGTTTACAAAAAAAAACGCTTGGGTTCATATTTTTTATTCACCGTGTATACATAATGCACCAGAACTTACGCCCCAGGGATACCAGGAACATGGAAAGAAGGTCGAAAAAATTCTATGTATGAAAATTTCGGAGTTAAGAGAGTTTAAATTTTGCACTTTGCTGTAAAAATAATTTTCCAATTTTTTTCCAAAGAGGAAACAAGGAAGCTGTATCCGAAATAAAAAATTTTGACATAGAATTTTTTAAACATTTTTTCCATGTTCCTGGTATCTTATCTTACTTGAAATTTTTCTCTGGGGCGCGAATTCTGACACACCTGTATGTAGTTTGAACTATTTTTTTTTGTTTTATAAAGAAAAAGAAACACAAAATTTAAACAGAAAACGAAAAGGTATTAATGTTTAATTTCTCTATTACTTGTCATTTTATAAAAAAAAAATATTTTTATTACTATTTTTATTTATGGTGCAGGTGATAAGCCACGATTAAGTGAGTGAGTAGTTGTGAGAACATTGACTTTTTCTGACATATGTTAAACCAGATGGCAACCGAAAATTGTCTTGAAATTTACAATTCACTTAATGATGTACTTTCAAAAATAAACCACCTGCCCAACTGTTTACAAATAATGGACAAATACAAAATTTTACTCCAATTACAATCAACTTCCGAGACAGTTGACTGATAAAGTACCTACTTGTACCAGTTTTACACAACGTCGTGTCATTTTACATTTAGGAGAAACTAAGTACTTGGTTATGATAGCAGAAAAATAACGAATAAATAAGACGTTATTACATTACGTGATAATTATTTCGGTTTCATTTCGCAATTTTGCAAAGATGAAATAGAAAGTGTGCAAAGATGAACACAAAAGAGATGAAAATTTTTAGTATAGCAATTGTGCAAAAATATTAAATAGTAACGAAAGCATTGTTTTGTGAGAATGATGCGTAATCGTGTTACTTTCATAATTTATTAGATCATTCTCTCGAAATTACTTTCATCAATACAGATGGAAAATTTGGTGGTTCCTTTTTTAGAATATGATTAGAAAGTAAATACTAAATACAAGTGTAATTCCTTTATTGTGTGGAAATCAAGATGTGTGTTAACCACAAGTGTTACAATTTTCCTTATCTAACTGAAAGGACTCAAATTGAGTGATCGAATTAAAAATTTTGCAATAATACTTGTCTCGCACTGGTCTACCATTTCTGGTGGGTTATTGGCATTCAAAGCCGTGATCTCAAAGGTCAGCCGGGATTCACATTGAATCACTTTCTTGCTGCTAAGTAAAAGTAAAATCTCTTCCAATTTCGAGTGATACACACAAGAGAATTTGTAACACTGGAAGATTATTCAACACTTTTGGAAAGGCCATAGTGACTCAGTTATTTTTCCGAGATGCATTTCAAAACTTTCACTGTCGGACGTCCTAAAGCAATAATAAAATTACGTTTTACCAAGAAAAATATTAGCAAAGAAGTAAAGGGTACCGCAGCCTTGTTGGTGGTAAATGTATCGGGTTATTTCGTATTCAGTTAAAGTAAATGTTGAATGATTTTTTCAAATATTAATTAATAATGGCGTATAGACACTTTCAGATTAAATTTACCACTAGACTGGCTTTCTCAATATGATCTGGCCTTGGTACGCGAAAGACATAAAAGACTCGTAATTATTCAAATAATTAACTATTTCAGTTATAATATAATTTCTTATGTAAATAACGTTAACCAGTCGGCGCTTTGCTACATTTACCAACACAATCACGGTGCAATTCTATGTAATGCACTATTATTATAGATTATGAATGATTTGCAACGATTATTTTATGCAACGGATACAAATGCGTAATGTTATTGCAAGGGGTCGCTGGGTAATTCAATTGACGTGGGAAGGCTTAAATTAATCCGAAGCTAATTTTAAATCCACGCTTATTATTATATTATCACAGTCTGTAATGAAATGTGTCAACAATTTTGCTCAAACGTTATTAATTACAAACAACTGTTGAAATTTTTCAACAAGATATTGAATTCATGAAAAATAGAAAAAATACTTTTTAAATCAATATCTACCACACGCGATACACCTGAAACAAATTTTTCTTTTTGGGCTCTACCTAACATTTTTCTGTCTGTTAAACGGTCGACAGAAATACCTTTCTGGTTAGTTAGTAAGTGATTGGCATTTAATTAAATTAATAAATCATTTAACAAATATGTGCCGACATTTCTTTCACAATTTTTCGAGCTTCAACTGAGCAAATATTTACCTAAATCAAAACTTTAAAAACGCTTAAATGTTGTGTATAATTTTAGCAGCTGCAAGTAGTTTTTGCGTGCAGTATAATTTTATAATTACACAGTAATTTGCTAATAGCTGTATTAAGCTATTTCATGCAACTATCATAATTTTATCAATATTCAACTTTTTATTAGTTATTATCATGGTAGGTCATACAAAGTAATTTGATCATTTTTGTTTGTTTATTATTTGGTAATAACAATAAAACACTGTTTATACACCCATTTATTAACCATTAACTAAAACATTAAACGAGTTATAATATTTGATGGAATAAATAAGAAAATAAATTACTTTTTGTGGTTGTTAGATAATATGCTAAGTGGATTACATTCAGATCGAAATGTTTTTGTTAACAAAATTCGAGCGGGATGACTCCATTGCGGTTAACTCTCCCATACGACTTTCCCTTTCATTGGTTATTTTGTAATAAATAAAACTATCTCGTTTCATTAACAAAGAACAATAAAAAATAGGAAATGTTGCCCACCAATTTCAAAATTTCAGATGTAATTTTGTCAATTGTTTGAAGTGTTATAGGCAACCAACAATACACTTTCGCAATTTGCAAATTATCTTTGATGTTTTAGACTATTAGTCCATATGTGAAATTGAATGACCCGTTTAATTAAATTTGAGCTTTTTTTTATAGATTGCCCAATAAACTTATCAAACTATTATCCTTAACACAGTTACACCACAAGTCAATTACCTCAACCATTTTCGTCAGTACAAGTTCTAACAATTTAAATTCATTTGCAATCGATTAAACAATTTTTTTCTCCTTGAATCACCACTTTCTTGAATACGGGACGATATCTAAGTCTGCATCCGGTATAATCAATAAATTTTCTCCGAGGAAATTTCCTGTTGTCTCGGGGCTATAAAAGCCTGTCTTGGCGTTAGGTAACAACGCATTCTTCATTTTGTTGCTCTTATTTTAATGGTTTTTTAAAACTTGTAATCACCCACAATTAGCACCCATTTCCGATCTAGTAAGCACGAGTAACCAAAACGGAGAATCCGTGAAAAAATTGAAGAAAGTTCACGTGTTGAATAACAGGACCGGAAACATAATCTTAATATGTGAAGTTTCGAATGAAAATCGAATTAATTCCGGAGATCTAAATGAAAGCTTGTTTGCTTCCGGCTGAAATTTTGGCGTTACATAACGTGGTTTCTTCCACTCGTTTTAGCGTAATTATACGCACTAATTATTCAAATATTAATTACTATTAGTTCAAGCAAGAGTACTATTGCATTTGTCAACAAGAGATAACAATTAATGTGGAAGAAAGTGAAAATTATAAAAGAAAATTTAACACCTGACTTCAATTATTCGTTGCGGCATGAAATAATTGGACCAAATTGAAACTTACAATTGGGCAAGAGTAAATCACCGCGATTAGATGACATTAAGTCATTTACTAACTTTGATTTAATTACTCTGAATCTTGATTTAATTAATATTTTTCCCAAATGTTTTGTGATGTAACTGGTCTTTCCCTCATTAAAAATTTTAATTGTACCACATTCACTTTTCTAATTTATTTGTTTTATTGTTTCGGCAATATTGAAGATGGAATTTTAATAAGAGCACTCATGTTAGATGAAAGAAAAAACATGTTGCGAGAGAGAAATTGAAGGTTCATAAAGTTGAAGGCCTCTAAATACGAATGTTTGTTTGAATTCACAATTAATGCACAAAATTGTGCAATTGTGTTTGGTCATGGTGCAAAAATCGTAGGAATTTTGAGGAAGATTGCCATGAAGTCGGGCGAAAAATGGCGATTTAACGCATTTCTATTGTCCAAAAGTAAAAACTTCGTATCGAAGTGTACAGTCATGCAGTTCAAATTTCGCCATCAGTCAAGTTCAAGTCCATAATTTGACAACAGATAGGGTAGACGAACTACAAGTGCATTTGGTGGGGTACTCGAGAAAATTTTCTATTGGTTGTCGGAGTACCCTCCTTGACCTCGTTGACTTTCATTCGCTACCAATCGCGCCAACACTCGAACACTTACGACCTACATATGAGCTTTGAAATAAGAAGAACTTTAAGACATTATCACATTCACTCACTTAGTTCGGTCCCAACATTAAACAGTGTAAGACATTTTTGTTAGGTAGCATCCGCCATTTTTTCAATTTTAAGCCGCCATTTTTAAACAGTGCCAGTGATTCGGAAGTATATTGTGATGAGTGTATTTTTTTTTGGGTTCAGCAATATACTTCTTGAGGATTTGGTCGAGTTGCCTTGTGTGGTATATCAATTTGGTAATTTTGTTGCAGCAAAATGAGGCAACACGTTTGGACACTAGCAGTACTGGCCTGTCTTGTCGCTTTCTGTAACGTCGCCGAAAGTAGATCACTTGTTAAAAGACAAGCGAACGGGGGACACGATGTATATGCACATGGACACGAACATGTACGTATCACATTACCATTCCGAAGTAATTCGACTCAAATGTCTTACAGAAATTAAGTAAAAGTGTATGACAGCGGAGAAGAAAGTTATGCTAATAAGGCAGCGTCGAGAGTAAAAGTGATGCTAATTTTGGACATTACGTCACTTTAAATGAATTCAAATAACTGTTAATTATGAATAATTTGAATTTTTTATCGGTCAAGTTACAATCTCCCTTGAAAATTGAAAGTAACGGCCTTTGTATAATTTTTTCTTCTCCTAACAATGATCTGCACGCAATTTCACACCGACGCACTGCCATTACATTTCCTGTAATTTGTCATTAAAATGCAACAAATTTGTTGTTTTTTGTTCAGCGAAAGTGTTTCACAAATTTTAGTGAATGTTGCATTTTGAAATATTTATTTAAATTAACAATTCTAATTTATGCACATTTACAAATTGTAATGGCAATATCAGTTACTAATTACAATTCAATTTCGAGTGCGTTTACTAGAAACAACTCAAATCCACTTCCGGCAATTCCGGAAATGCAAGACAAAATTGTGGATTCTCTTATTACACAACCAACAAAAAATCTATTGTTAATCTTGAGATTTTGCAACATTAAAAATGTTCCTAAAATTTGTGTGAAGCTTTCCTTTTGTTTTGTAACTTATTGGTGAATACGCGAATACATTAAAAAACAATTTTGGGTTACCAAACTGACCACACATTGACACAGTTGTTTATTTTTTTTGCCAAGTTGCGTTGGATGCTTCCAACTGGTTTATAGATAATAGAAAAATTTCTCCGCTTTCTAAACTTTCCTTGAAGGTTGTTCTATCAAAAACAGCACTTGTTACATAACAAGTTTTTTTTTGAACAAGTGTTGTGATTGTCATTCCGATTTCAGGGGTACGCAGATAAGAAGAAAGTGGAGGCCGCCTTCGGGATTAAGAACGCTATTTTAGGTTTCGTCTTTAACGTAAGTAGTGGTCCTTTAGCCCCATACGAGGGGTGAGAATAAAAATAAAAAAATTCAACTTATTAAAAAAACAAAAATAACTTTCTAATAAATTTCATTGTCTACTTTTTTCTAAAAAATGATTAATAGTGAAGTATTTCATGCCATTCTCCCATGAAATATTTCAAAGATGTCTCTTTGCACTTGCACGTTTCGTTTTGCACTTCATTCATCCACAGAAAATCAATTCATTCATCGACCAGAAGACCGCGTGGATCGACCATTTGGATCATACCAACATAGCCAAAAATAAGGCTCAAGGTATAGAACCGCCCAAAGATCCTGTGGTATCCCTCTCCGGAATCGTGTCCGGGTTTATCGGCGATAAGCTGCAAGCTGCCGGTCCTTTCATATCCGCTGTGACCAACAAACTCACCAGCAGCTCGTCTAGCGGCCACCACAACAAGTTCAATTTCGGGGCTCTTGTCGGCGGCGGCGGTGTAGGTGCCCCAGTGGCACATCCTGGTGTCCACGCTGGTGCCACCCTTTCGGCGGGATATGGGGCTGTTTAATGGGGCCTTTAATGAGCAAATTGCACTGTTACAACAAGCATAACTCTTGCCTTGAACACGAGCAAAATGTAAATCTGTGGCAATCTTTATTCTAGTCACTTTATTTGTAGTAACTCAATCGGCCCGAAATTTTCCACCCTCCGGGCGATTCGTGATATTCATTCACTTTCACTTATCAAAACCTGTTATGGTTGTTGTAATCGTCCTAATTTATATAAAACTTAATACTCAAAACCATTTCGCAACTTACTTTATGTTGTTAACAAAATTGTTTTCTTGTGATGTTTCTTCCTCTCGTCTCTTCTCTTGTCTCTTCAAATTCTATCCTTCTAATTTATTTAAGTCTTTTTTGTTATTGATTCGCTTTCATTGTAGAAAAATCATTGAAAATCATTATATTCACAATATGTCATCCCTCTTTCGTATAACAATTTGAGATTTACGTTGTAAATATTTTATTGTGAATATGTTGAATTAGTATTAGATTATTGTAAATAAATATTTGAAATAAATAATTTAATATAAACATTGTGTTTTTACTGTTTTTTAATAAATTACAAAGTGACAATTTATTTATTTCATCAAACCTCAACCAAATCTCAAATTGTTACACAAAAAAATAAATAAAATTAAAAAGAAATGAGTTATTTTTTATAAATTATAGAAACCGTCAACCGGCTTTGCCTGGGACCAAACCACAACCACCACCCCTAAAGCTCCCACCACCACTGAAGATATTGTCATTTTTGAAAAAGACCAAAAAGTCTCTCTTGACGTTCCCGGCGAACTATTCGCTTCTTCCTACACCCTGGTTACAAACCTCTCAAATACAGTAGGAGAATTCATGATAGTGAGCTCATAATTAAAAATAATTACTCGTATTTACGCAATTATTTTATAGAATTCGGCTTTGAGGGCGCAACGGTTGCTGGAGTCGATGAGACCATTTTTGAGGAAAGTTTTCGGTGCCAAAGGTATTGTGATTGAAGCCACGACTGATAAACCCATCTTCTCTGACCCTAATTCTAGTTAATTCGTTTTATTGCTTATTTTTACTTGTGATGGAAAAGTCAGTAATGCCATTGTTATTTTAGTTTGTAAAATGTAAATATTGTTGATAATAATAGCCTCGCAGTGACACTGATATATGTCTCATCGATTGGGTGCATTACCCAACAAAATAAATGTAATTTTGAAATTGTCTAAGTAATTGTTGTTGAAATATCAAGTAATTATTACATGTATTTTAATGTAAATTTCAAGTTTTGTTGCCTAGTTAGTTTATTTAAGAAATGAAGGTTACTTGAATGTAGTTACGTTTACATTATTCATTATATTAATAAATTGACCTGTATTGCATTCTTTTTTCACTGTGCATTTGTTTTTCTATAAAATTGTAAAAGGTGATTTGAACAGTTATAAGAAAGTATATCCGGTTTATGTAATATTTTCTGGATTATTTATTTTTTATTGATACAAAGATGTGTTTAATTAAGAATTATTATTATTATATACATAGTTATAATAAAAATATGTACTCGTATTATTCTTTAATGTAATTTAAAAATCAAAGAATATTCTTAACAGTTCGGAAGTCTACATGAGGAAGGTAATAGCGATGCGGAAGAATACACAAAGGAGACAGAAGATTAACTATTAAAATTGATTTTTCCGATTCTCATGATTAAGAAGAATAAGCTTTCACTTCTCACGATGACTCTTTTATGTCACCTAAATGGAAACTGTTAAGCAGATGCAAGGATTTCACCTACAAGTAATCATCGCACCGTGTAATTTTACATACCATGGCAGTGGTTACTATTATGCAACAACTGTGTTTTTAGGTGTTGATGATTCGGACAAGATGTTGTAATTTTAAAAATTATTGCCACATTTGGTATTTTGTTCTATAGGTCTAAATGATAATAATAATTAAACGAAAATCTAAAAAAAAACAATACAGATTTTTTGCTACTGTTTTTTTTTAATTTTAAACCATAATTTTGTTTTTACAATTTGTTTAAAATAATACTACTTTATTTTCAGACTAATACGAGTTATATTGTTTTTTATATATATTTGGTTTTTAAATTTTGGTGGATGCGCCGGGCAAAAACAAATTTTTTTTAAAATCAATTTTTACACTTTTTTAATTACGTAAACCTGCAAGTGCCTGAAAAACAAATATATATTTTTTATCTTTGTATATTCTAATCGTTAGATGAAGTAATATTTTATATTATGAACAATGTCATGTTATTTATTATTGATTCATAATGACTTCGACTGAGGTCTGTTATGAAGGAATTACAGTCGTTAAGGTTTTTCCAACTTATTTGCCAGGATACTTTACTTGTTTCTCAAAATACTGTGTATTCATCGGATACTTTAATTTGTCATATTTGAATTTGATTTTTTTTAATTTCAGGTGAAACATAAACTTACAAGAATTTTGAACTCAAGGCCCTCGGTTTTGCAAACTTAGTCTCGGAGGCCACAAACATCTAATAATGCCCTGGTCCATAAATAACTAGTCGTATTAATCGCATAGCAGGTTTCGTGAAATGCCTTTATAGTCTAGTCAATCAACAAGTTAATGCATGGTCGAGAATCGAATTTTAAACTTTACGAATGTATTTGGTTTAGTTAAAAGGTAAACATACTGAAAATTCTCAGAGGAGCACCAAGAGAGTCTCGTTTTACGCTTTTTTGCTTATGTTTACAAAGTGTTAGAAAAAATGGTTTTGTACAAAAAAAAACTATAATTTTTTTTACAAGATTGGGCCGGGTTTTTTGATTAGTAAATAGCTTTTGAAATATTCGCACCCTTTAAGAAAAACTATAAAGAATTAATGAGGGATTGCTGTAAAAGTTGTAAGCATTGTTTAAGGTTGGCTATTATAATAATAACGGCTGCTTATTTAAATTTGACGTTATAGTTGGCAGTGATATGAGTGTGTTGTGAACGGACCACAATTTTTAATACGCCCGGCGAGATGTCAAATGTCAGATTAATAACTTCCGTCAATACGGAGGTTCGTTCACAATCGAACTTTAATGGATAGCTTTGACGACAAATTTAAAAAAAGACTCGTTTTATAATAACATAATAATATGTGCTCCAAACTAAAGCAGCGATACTTAACGCGTCGTCCAAAAACTTTTAGGAAAGGGGAGCATTAAATAATACATAATATAATCAAATAATAATAATAATTCTAAGGTTTGGTACAACAAAAGAAAAAAACATACTAAATTTTGAAGAACGCTTTATAGAGACATTAATTTTTAAACGTTCTAACAATTAAAGAGAAATAGGGGTTTGTAAGAAAATACAGCGAACTGCTGCTTATTCTTCAAAATAAGTAAAACATATTGTTGGTTGCCTATATAAAAATAAAGAATTTGGTTTCTCCCCACTACACAAAACATATCTATATCATAACATGGAACTAACGTATTCTTTTTTAATATTTGCAAACATGTCTATATAAAAATAAAGAATTTGGTTTTTCCCCACTATACAAAACATATCCATACTATTTCTACCAGTGAACATCGAACCAACGTTTTTTTTTTTTTAATATTTGAAATATGAGGTAAATAATTCAGGTTTTATTTTATCTAACATAATTATTAAATAAAACATGTCAAAAGTGAAACTATTTTCCTAATTAAAAAAATCATAATTTCTAAAATTGTTATAGAAGCAACCAAAAATAATAATTACACTTATCACTTGATACTGCGTTTGATTTAAATAATCAATTGAATTAAAATTGATTTTTATCAAAACAGGAAATAAAGTGAGGCTTTATTCTTTGGTTTTTGACTAAATAATCTGGTACTTTATCTCGGGAATAAAATAAATGAAACAGATTTTTATATATCATTTTTTTATTTTATTATTATTCTACTCTATTGGGAGGAAAGTTTTGTGTACATCTCTGGAATAAACATCCTTTATCCTTCGATTAAAAATTTATTACATTAATACACCACACTGTATAAGTTTTTATAATAATGTGTTGTACGTTTCAAGTTTTAATTATTTAATGATATATTTATTTTAATAATTTGTTATTATTTATAACATACACAACGAAAGAGAAAGATTAAATAAATCGTCACTGATTAAATGATTTAACATCATTTGAATAGAACTTGTTTTTCTTACAATAATAATTAGAATTAGTAAACAAGGAGAAAAATCACAAATGTAAATTTATGCGAAAAGTGCATTTTCAGATTTTATCTATAAAAAACAAAGTTATTACATTCTAGAACACGCATGAAGATAATAAATCCGTTTTGTGAAAGCATAAAAACCAAAAAAATGATGAAATTATATTTTGAAACAGATGCTCTTCTAGTGAAATACTAGATAAGAATTACAACAACGTAAAACTAAAAATGAGTGTACTCACTATATGAATATAGTTACAGGAGATTTCGCAAACATTTCTTGTTAAAAATTATTCTAAAAAAACTTTACAATAATGTTTCTCTATTTTTTTACAGAGAATTGATAATTTTGTACTAACAGTTCACTTACGCCATCACTTTCGTTCTTCATCAAAGATTTATCTAATATGTGAAATTTTCCTAAACGCAGCCGGTAGCTAAACATAAATAAACAGTTCAAAAATTTCTGAAGTTAAATAATAACTAGGCCGATACTTCCATTAAACAAAAATATTTGTTAATAGTTATGTCAGCAGTTAAAATTCGAATTTAAGATATGATGACCTACTTAAAGAGCTAGCGATGTGTGAATATATTTTTGCAATAGAAAAAATTTGACATGACGTAAGAAGCAACCTATAGACTAGTTCTAACATATGCATCTTCCCAAAATATTCGACATTTCTATTATAATATCTGTGCAATAAAAAATTACGAAATTAAGCAAGCACATCATACAAATACCCAAATTATCCTCACTTAAGGTTAATACAAAGCCTTGACGTTCGCCATTTCGCAAATTTTATTAAATTGTCTGAGACATGACTTGATCTTGCATGTAGATTAAACGCAAGTGCAGAAAAGTCGGTAATTGGTTGAGAAAGTCTGGGTAAAAATAATAATGGGATGTTTTGTCGAGTTCCCTTACAATAATAAAATGATAAGTGCATGAGACTATCGACAAGCATTAAATTACAAGCAATTTCCACCACTCTTGAACGATTTTTCCGTTTCCACTCATTCTTGACCAATGGTCTGCATTCCCAGCAATGTTTATCTTCCATTATGTCTATCCAAGCGTCTTATGTAAGAAAGTGAGCCAATCAGCCTTGACTCATTTGACAAACGATATTTTTTTTACGAAAAGAAGGTTAATAGTGTTTCAATCTTCTCGAGAAGTGGTGTCTAACACCGGTATTAGCATCAGTTCTTGTGTGTGGTTTTTCCTAGAGGATTAGAAAGGATTGTTCTTGAAACTGCAGTAAGTGGATCACTTTTTGTTTCAATTACACGAAAACTAATTACACTTGAGGCTGTTATATAACAAGAATTTAAAATCAAGCAAGTATGTCATCTTTTTTTGGAAATTGATTACATTCACTGGAGTTTTTTTAAACCTGATTTGGGAAGAAAGCATCGCTGAGGTGACATAATTGTTTACGGTTTTGGACATTCAAAATTGCATGTGAACGGCTAATTATAAATGTCGTTAATCAAAAAAGAACTGATTTTGTAATAACAGTTTCTCTCTAATTCGAAGCATAGAGCGAATTCAAATTAGATAATAATAATAATTAAATTATTTGACGCTTTGATTAATATTTTGAAGAGACTTCCTGCATCAATCACTATACAAATACTGTCCTTCCATGTCTTCACCTAATTACTATCGATATAAATGTAAATAAAACTGTAACTTTCTATACAATTGATTATGGTTATAGTGGAAAACATTTTATATAATAATTTTCCTCCCAGTTAAACCCGTTTTCTACACAGTAGTAATCGCTATTAGTGATATAAACAAGGTAAATTATTATGCGTCTACCACTTGCGAAATTTTTAAAACAAGAATTTTATTAAATGGCCAATCGTGTTAGAAAACGTGTTTTTACAATCTTTTCTAGTGAATGATTAATTTACTGTATAAAACTTGTAAAAGCTTTATGTTTCAAGGATTTGCCGATAATCCCAAGAATGTTTCGTTATAGTAATTGTCGCAGAATAATTGCAATTTCAAGTTATTATATAATTAGTGATAGCTATTGCAATAGTGACCCCTGATGTACAAATATCAATAAAATAAATGAAGATATTTATGAATCATTGGAAAATAGTTGTAAATTTGTGAAGGATAATGACCGTTATTACTAATCGAAAGTTAAGTGTTGACTATAATAAATGGTCGAACAATAAAAGAAATGAACTAAGTATAAAGGTTAGATATACAATTGTAATTCTCTTACTTTTGTTCGTTTTTTTGCTCCTGTGAATTTCACAACGTTGCTTTGCAAGTTTGAATAAAAAGGTGAGTAGGGTGTTGTTAAGTTTTTTCATTTACACAGAGCAGATCTGAAAGTGTATCACATATCCTTGAGCTGTAACGCGTGTTCAGGTATGCATTCCAGAGAAAATAATCATTTGTTTAAGTAAAACCATAATTTTATTAGAATTGCATGAATTGCTTCACATTTTTTTAATGTGTTATAGGTTTTTCCTGTAAAGCAACGTTTATCTAATATTTGGAAAACAGTATAAATGAAATAAAAATTTGGGTTTTTTTATTCAACATTACTGACTTTAATTTGAGCAACACTGATTTTAACAATCATACGTTTCTTTACATGAAACAATTTTAACATATTATTTT